ATAATTCTTTTTCTCGCGTCTCCGCCGTAAACTCTCAACAATGCCAATTAGCCTCGGCCAGCTTTTCTTCCAAGACGTTTGCCGGAGAATCCTTTTTAATGAGAATAAGGCTGGAGCCAACTATGAGCGGGCGGCAGGCTGACTCGTTTTAATTCCGACAGAAGCCCGTGTCGGACTATGAGACACTCGTGCCGCGAGTTGTCGGAAAAGTGGGGGAGAATTGAAAAGGGGGGGGGGCTACTTTTTAATGAACGACTTTCTTCTAATCGCTCGAGCAGCTGGTGGGACGGGAGGAGGAGAACGTGTAGGAGGATGGGCAGGCAGTGAGCCGACAGAGGCCAAAGTCCAAACCGTCGGCCTCTCCCTCGGGGCGTCAGCGCACAGTCCACTACCGTTTCCTCTCACCCTTCCTCTCCCTCATCTCCATGGCGCTGCTATGTCCAAATATTGAATCTGATAGCGGAGCAAAAACAGAATAGGATAAGTGAGCGGAACGATGCCTCCGGCCGGGACAGACGGTCAGCGGGCAGGCAGAGGCAGCTCAAGGGGATGAGGACACGCCGGTGTAGTGGGGCAAAGGCCTTTCCAGGAAGCTCCGACCGGGCTCCGGCAGGGGGGGGGGGGCAGGGCGCAAAGGCCTGTCCAGGCTCCAGCGAGGACTCCAAAGCTGCAGCGCAGAGGCTTCTGCCGAGCTCCCAGCGTGGACTCCAGGCCGCAGAGGCTTGTTCCACTCACCAGCGGGGACTCCAGCCCGAAAAGAGGCTTGCGTCAAGGATGCAGTGGAGGGAGGCTTCAGGCTGCCTAGGCTTGCGCCAAGGCTCCAGCGCGGGCTCCACGGCGGCCGCGCTGCTGCGCCCGACTCGGGTACTGCTGCACGCCCTGCACTCTCTGGGCGCGGCGTGGTGCTGAATGGGTAATGACGGGAATCCCTCCCTCCGCGGGGTTTTATCGGCTGGCTCTGGTTTATGGCGGGCGAGTGAGTAAAGCTGGCTGCTGCGGCTCGCAGGGGCGTGGATGTGTGGGCCGCGCGTGCGGCGGTGCTGGGATGCCACGCTCACTAGACGAGCTTTCTCACTCGGCTTCTGCCGGACTCGCCGACACGTGTCTTTCATTCTCTCTTTTCTCCTCTCTCTCTCTCTCTCTCTCTCTCTCTCTCTCTCTCTCTCGACGTGTTCTTGTCTAGCCACCGGTTGGTGTTCATTTATTTTATTCGCTCTCTCTCTCTCTTCACTGACGCGGCTCGCTCTTCCTCGATGCTTCGAAGCGTCGACATACTTTGCGGGTGCCCTGCTGCTGGGCTCTGGCCGATACCTTTGGCCCCGATGCCGATGCCCGCGATGGGTTGAAAAGGTTCAAATGGCCGTGCTCCACTGCGGGGAAAGCAATGGTGCTACACGTAGTCCAGAGTACCGCTAGAAATACACCGAAACACTGAAAAATATCGACGTAAATTCACATCTTTTGTAATTAATATTTTTTTTAAATGTGCTGTAAATTTATAACACCTCCAACTTGCTCGTCGATGAATTCCAAGTCGATAAAAAGTGCCTGTAATTTTACAATTTTGAATAGGAATTTTACGACACGCTACAAAATAAACCGTTTCGCTCCTGCAGTGGATGGTTGCACCACCCTGTTTCCTGTGGGTGGTCCAGACATTAGCCTGGTTCTGGTTCACTCTCGACCTCTCTTTTAGCCCCTCTTAGCTAAGTTTCTTTAAAATGTTTCTCTCTTACTGACAATTTTTTTCAAAAAGGTTCAGAAGGCTCCTCGGCGGCCGAGCAATATCCCGATAAGGTATTTTCCCACTGCCCAATCCAGCCTACGGGTCTTTGCGGCCTGTGCTCCTGTCGTCCTCACCGCGTCCCTTATATTTGCTCACCGTTTCATGATGCAGCTCGGGGGAGAAACTTTTCCATCCCCCGTAGCGCGCCTCCCGCCTGTCGCGCCCCCGCTGCGGCTGCTTCTGCTTCGGTGTTTTAATGGCAAGGGGCAAGGGAAAATGAAATAAGTCCCTGATGGTTTCCACCCTGCTGGAGGGCCAGAACCCTCATCAGGTTCGGGTGAAAAGCAAGCAGTGAAATCGTTTATTACAGGCGTTAAAGCGCCCTTCGTGGCCCTCTCCCTTACCAGGGACTTCGATAATAAACCTTAAAGGACTCACAGAAAATTGTCACCAATTCTTATGTTCCAGGCATTTTTCTTTTCAATTTTTGATTT